TGGGGGGGGGGGTATGATATCGGACATGATGTGGTGGTGGTGGTTGTTATTGTTGTAAGATGGTAATGGCCAAGCAAAAAACAGATCACAATGCATGCAGTTCACATCAATTAAACACACCTTTTGGAATTTGTGAATAAACACTATCACTTGTAAAAATGGCTTTCCTAGGAGGACATTAAGAAATCACGTGTCATGTGGAGTTGTTGAGAAAAATGAAGCATCTGGTGTATTGAAATTATCAGGAAAAGATATACAGATTTGTAGAAGTTGGTTGTACTTATACCAGGCAAAAAAAAAAAACCCCTCTCAGTACTGCAAAATCTGAATAAAAGTAAGGCAGTATATGAATATAATTTCATCACACGGTACAGACAGTCCATTTACACTAGCTATACTTAGCCACAACCATCTAGTGAGGAAAGTACTTGTATTAACCCTTTAAGTCCAGTTGTTACTATATGTACCACCTTCTGTAGTACACTACAACTGCATTTGGCTCACAGAGTGTATTTGTATCTTTTGTATGGGTGTCACAATAAAATGTGGCTGTTTCCCTAAACAGATTAACCGGTTGGTCTTTGCAGTGGAAATGTGTTTCTTGTGAGTTACAAGCTGAATTTTTATGTATTATTCAGAAGAAATTCATTCTTTAGAGAGTTAACCCAATATGTTTGAATTCCCCACAGCTTAGGAATACCAGAAGTATGATGAATATAGAATTAATAACTTTTTTATGATGTCCTCTGACACAACTTGACTTGGGAAATACCATAGTATGTATGTTATGCCACGAGGCACAGAATGTGGGCTCACCGTCTGTCTTAACGTGAATTTAACTTTGACGTTTTAGTCTACCAGTTAAGATGACTAACATTCTGGACGCCTTAGTGACTGCAGTTAACCACACATCTCACAGTTGAGTACATATCCCAGATCTCCAGGAAATGTTTGGTTATTGTTCGTAAACGAGACGTATAAATGTGTGTAAACTAGTGAGATCAAAGAACGCCCCGTGTTATTTGAGATACCACGCGACTGTTCTCTCTTGAGTTCTACCACAGCGACTGGGCTACCGAGAGGAAAATCAATGTCCATAGGTGGCGTTGCTGCTGCGTGCACATGTGCAAGTAGTGTTGAATTCTCCCGCCGGATGTCGTGACGCAAATAATCATACAATTTTACAATTTATTTTAGGTTTAAAATATGATTTACATGCAGCATAAGAATTTTTGTTTGAATTTTCCTCTAGAAATATTACATTTTTAGTATATGACGTACAAATTTTATATAAAGTAGTTTCATTTTATGGTAGTAATTCATGCAGCGAGCTGCACCCGAAGTTGATATAGTGCGTATTTGCTTTTGTATGCATGTACGTAAATAAATAAAGGTTGTCATCATTAGGGTCATGATTGACCATAAGTGATGCATGATGATTGAGAGATATGAGGTTTTGATTCCAATCTCTCGCCGCAGTAGTAACGACCCACTGCTGTCGGTTTATCTGATATCACTTTACAATGACCAAGAGTTGTTATCAAGTATTTGGATGCAAAGTAGTAGAATTTGTCACTGTTGTTATCGCCATTGTTTTTTAATATCAGATTATAATTTGTTATTAGGAAAGTCCAGCAAAACTTGATAGTCCTCTGTTGACCCTTGACCGCTTTTTGAGTTTCTTGATGTATTACTGGGTAAGTTTCCTTGGATGGGGATCTGCTCATCACAAGGCCTCTACACATACACCTCCATGCCTCGAGTGGGATTCGAACCTACGATCCCAGTGTTTAAGCGGGCTTAGACCCCGCGGTCACTGATTGGTAGTTGCTGGTCTGTTCTGACATAAATATACTGGAAGATAACGTAGCTGCCATAAAGAAAAACACAGAAACGTCAGTTAACGCTAATGAGGAGGTTTGGTGTAGAAGTGAACGCAGAGAAAACTAAGTATACGTTGCTATCTCGTCGGTTTGGTGTAGAAGTGAACGCAGAGAAAACTAAGTATACGTTGCTATCTCGTCGTCAGAATGCAGGGCAAAACCATTATCTAAAGATCCTTTAAAAATGTGGCACAGTTCAGATATTTGGCAACGACAGTAACAAATCAAAACCTGATTCAGGAGGAAATTAAGAGGAGATTGAACTCGGGTAATGCTTGCTACCATTCAGTCCACGACCTTTTGTCTTCTCGTCTGCTACCTAAAAACATAAAAATTAGAATATACGAGTATAAAACTAAAGTTTTGCCTGTTGTTCTGTATGAGTGTGCAACTTGGTCTCTGACATTAAGGAATGGATCTTAGAGAGAGAGGATGGGGTGGTATGGATTGGATCGATCTGACTCAGGACATGGATCTTAGAGAGAGAGGATGGGGTGGTATGGACTGGATCGATCTGACTCAGGATATGGACTAGTAGAGGGCTCTTGTGAACACGGTAATGGACCTTCAGGGTCCATAAAATGCTGGGCAATTCTTGAGTAGCTGCGCAGCCGACCGCTTCTTATTGGCTAGTACTTGTTACACAGTAGTGACGAGTTTTGATTGTGGGTTTATCGGATGTTAATTTGTTACGACCAATCACTGTAAAAGTATTTTCACGTGGAGTTTAATTAACTGTATTAGAATTGGTTATGCTAATTTTATAAGGCTCAGATATAGATGTTGCTGTTTGTTCTTCATGTTTTCAATGCTTTGGATGAGGTAGGATTTTGTCTCTTCTTAGTAACGAATGTGATGTTTTATATTGACGAGTATCACTTCAATGTGTTGTGCAGAATGAAGAACGAAAGAGAGAGAAAGTGTTCGAACACGACAATCAAAATTTGTTATGAAGAAAGCAGTCTTCTGGGATGTGGTGTTAACCGACGTTTCGGAGGAACGTCGGTTAACACCACATCTACACGATGCCACATCCCAGGAGACTGCTTTCTTCATAGTCACCGCCGTGAAAACCTCAAATCTTACAAAATTTGTTATGTTCCGCTTTTTCGTTTTATCGCTGTTTATCCTGCCAAATTGATGGCCTCGGTACTGATAGCGTTGTTAACTAACCAACTTAAAAAGATAGAAATATTAAAAACGACGATAAAGATCTGCATACTTCACCATACATTTTTTAAGGAAAAGACAAGTAGTTACTTTGCTTTATGAAGCGCTGTTCCATGAATAAGTATTCAGGAATGGAGGTACAGCTCTGTGCATTCTTAACTTCGGCACTGGATGGAGGTGGGTGGTCAGCTTCACGCCCCTGTCACTTTGCCTTTGGGGGAAACACCCAAGATAGCCATTGGATAGAACGCTGGTGTCGATCTAGACCTTGAAGCGAACCCGGGTCATCCAGTCCGAGTCACTATCCGTGCTGAGGCATCCCAGTTCCTGTCTTATAGGCAATTCATGTGTTTATTGCGAGATTCGATATTTTCTTCCGGGAGGTGACGCCGTATATTCTGGTAGATGATTGCCATCGTGTGACGCTGCGTTTGTTAGGGTCTCCTTGTTTTCCTATCTTTACCACATTTTGTGTGAGTTATGCTGTAACTTCTCCCATTCGCTCTGCCTCTCGCTTCCCTCCATCTGCTGCTCTGCCCTTGAAAAAGAGCGCCTCTCCAAATGCGTCGGCCCTGCAGACTTCCCTCTTCCGCCTGTGTGTCCCCCCATCCGCCTTGGTTAATTTAAGTAGCCCGCTCCTCCATATCGCGGCATTTATGTACCACAAAATTTTAATATCTTTGTTTAAAATTTCAAAATTATGGAATATGTTAATTAATGCATGTCGCCATTATCGTATCAAGTTCTCACGTTACATTTTAAATTAATATTAAATTAAAATTTTACCAGTATTAACGTAATATTGAACAACAGTTTAATTAAAATACACGTATTCTAGCCTGATAATGACATTTAAGTAATATTGCATTTTAGCATTGTGTTGCACTGATATAGCACTCTACCACTTCCTCCCCGTCTTTAATGCAACTTTGTTTTAAAATTATAAGTATAATTAGAATAATCAAGTCAAGGAGGATGAGATGGGCAGGGCATATACCACGAAATGGGGGGGAAGAGGAATGCATATAGGATATTGGTAGGAAAGCCAGAAGGAAAGAGACCACTAGGAAGACGAAGACGTAGGTGGGTGGGCAAAATTAAAATGGATCTTAGAGAGATGGGATGGTATTGATTGTATTCATCTGGTTCAGGATAGGGATCAGTAGATGACTCTTGTGAACACTCTACTAAACCTTCGGGTTCCATAAAATGCTGGGAAGTTGAATAGCTGCACAATTGGCGGCTTCTTAAGAAGTGTTCAGCTCCACGAGTGATTATTAAAAATATATTATATTGAAATTATTTTAAATTAAAGAGAAATGATAAACAAAGTTGCATTAAAGGCAGAAGTAAGTGTGTGAAGATGGCATCTAAGGTCGAAAGATCCAGTTGTGTGATACGTATTTATAAATGTACAGAAGATAGTGGGAGATGGTGTATATATTCGATGAAATGAAGTTGAATTGATGAGATTGTTTCTTCCAAGGTACTTAATCAAAGAGTTGAGGACGTGGTTCTGCCAGAAGGTGCAAAAGTGGACGTGATCGTATCAGAATGGATGGGTTTCTATCTGCTGCACGAGGGGATGCTTGACTCAGTGCTACACGCCCGCGACGTCCACATGAAAGCTGATGGGAAGATGTTCCCTGAGATAGCAAAGCTCTGGTGCGCCCCCTGCAGCATGCCAGAGCTGTACGACTTCTGGGATGACGTGGGTGGTGTTCGCATGCAGAGTGTGGGACAGATATGGCGACAGCAGAAGAGCCAGGAACCACAGATAGTCGAAATATCTGGCAGTAACTTGCTAACTGACCCAGTAAACATTTGCACCCTTGATTTACGCAGTATCTCATCCAGAGAACTGGAATCAGTGTCAGGAAAGTTTGTGTTGCCTGCAAGTCATGATGGCAAATACCAGGGGCTCTGCATGTGGTTTTCCTGTGTGTTTCCTTGTATTGATGACGGTTCTCATGGCACTGTGCTGTCTACAGCCCCAACTGAGCCACCGACACACTGGAAACAGGCAGTTGTAATGCTTCCACATGACTTCACTGTGGAAGAGGGAACGCCCCTTGCATGGGAGCTGCGCCTACACAGAAGTGCCCTCAACTCGCGGCATTACAGCATTGAGTTCACCGAGCTGGACCCAGAGGCTGTGAAACATCCTCTGCCTTGCATGTGTTACATGACCAAGTGCATTGTGTTGCGGGCCTTCCTGGAGCAGAAGGAGGGCTGGTCCGAGGCAGAGGCAGGAGACGAGGAAGGTGAAGAACCTGATGACAGTTGCAGCAGTGGTGACAAGGCAGATGTCTAGCACAGTAACAGTGACACTTCTGTAACATGGCTATGTACAGCAAATGCCCGCCAAACTGGAGTAATTGCGGAGGTGAAGCAAAATGTGGCCCTAAAATACAAACAACTCAGAAAACAATAAATGTACAATTTATTGATACAAGTTGTGCTGATGAAAATAAATAAAAATATATCACCTTAAAGTCTTTATTTAAGAACTATAAAAAGACAATGTATTTATTCACCGATAGAAGGCTTAGAAGTTGTAAAAGGTAAAGTTGTCCCTGTGCTTAGCTAATTAAGCACTAAGTAGTTAAGGCGTATGGGGGAGTGGACGTATCACATTTTTTGACCTCGGCGAGAGTTGGAGGTGAGTGGTCAGCTTCACGCCCCGGCCGCTTTACTCCTAGGGAAAGAGCACCCGGCTCCCATTGGCTAGGAGGTTGGGTGCACCCCAGAGCCGGTCTGGACAACGTGGAGAAGAGAAAATTCTTGGCCCTACAGGGACTCGAACTCCGACCCCTTAGTCGTCCAGTTCGTAGCCAGTCGCTATACCGACCATGCTGACTGAGCTATCCCGGCTCCTACTCAGAAGTTGTACTTGTTTCTGAACGTAATAACGCAGGTCTGAAGAGACTGTCAAGCTGTGTCTGAACAGACAAGTGGCTCGTCTGCCTGCCTAAATGCCACGTGTCCTTCAAAGCATCTACTCAACTGTGAATAGCATTTTTCATACTTCGGACCAGATTATCTGAAATCCAGTTTAACTGTAACCGGATTAGCTAGGGTTTACTGTATAGGCAAATCGGATTTGAGAATCTCACGGCAGTCACTATGAAAAGTTTCCTCTGAAACGTCAGTAAGTCTCTTCCAGTTTCCACGCCGTCATATCCCAGAGGATAATATTCTTTTTCTTTGTACATCACATTCCTGAAGTGCACAAAAAGTCCGCACCATAGCTAATAGCTGGCTTCCCACCGCGGCGGCCCGGGTTCGATCCCGGGGTCTGATCAAGTGGGATTTATGGTGAACAAAGTGGCGCTGGAGCGTGTTTTCTCCGAGTACTTCGGTTTCCCCTACCAATCTTCATTCCACCAAATTCTCCATCATAATCACCCGGGGCAGGCCGCCGTGCCGAGTGGACCCAGTTGGACTCCACACCCCACTACGCGAATTAAAAAAATGTGCACAAAATGAAAGCATAAGAATTGGGTTCTCCGTCTCTGTCAACAACTGCTGAATAGATTTTGATAAAATTTTAAATTAGCTTAAGGAGTCAGATGAATTTGATTTTGGTTTACACCTGTTTAACAGTTACCTTACATGACACGTTATTACACCGGAACGCCTTGGCTTACTGAAATTATAAAAGGTAAAGTTGTGCCTTTGCTTCACTAATGAAGCACTACTCAATGAAGACGTATGGGGGAGTGGACGTATAGAGCCACACTTTGTTGACCTCGGCACAAATTGGAGGTGAGTGGTCAGCTTCACTTCATTCCCGCTTTACCCCCGGGGATAGAGCCCCCGGTACCCGTTGGATAGTCTGGGTGGGCCCCAGAGCCGGTCTGGACGACATGGAGAAGTGAAAATTCTTGCCCCCATCGGGATTCGAACCCCGACACCTTGGTCGCCCAGCCCTTAGCCAGTCACCATACCGACTGAGCCACTCTGGCTCCTGTCACAAATTGTAGACCACTGTAGGTTTTATTTTTTTATAATTTGGGAAATTGTTTATGCTTGTTAAAGTACGACAAGAAAATGGCGTTGTGTACTTGACATACGGAATTGTTTCCATCTTCAGGTTCCCCCAGAGTTTGGCCTGTTAACAGAGAGACACCCCTGACCACTGGACTGAGTACCGCCGTTTCCTCCCTGATACCCGACAGTGGAAACAGATTCAGTTTCCAAAAATCTGTGGATATCAGCTATACAACGGACAGTGACTAATTAATTAAATTTAACAGAATCCATCTCGAAAAGCTAATATTTGCTAATTGAGTATTTTTACATCCCTCGACACAACAGTTTTTATACAACTATAGGTTATTTACATTAAAATCTTATATTTTTATAAGAAACTGCTGTGTCCACGGCTGTAGAAATGCTGACTGTAAATGACACAACAGCCTGCAACACACAAAAATAATTTCCAGCGTTTTATGTAACCCAAAGATCCACTGAATCCTATCTTAAATCAGATGAATCCAGTCCACACTGGCAATATCCTGTTTCTTTACGATCCATGCTTAGGTCTTCAAAGTGCTTTAGCTCTTCGAGGTTTTTCTTCCAAAACTTATAATGCATTGTGGTTATCTCCCATGCATGCTACTTGCCTCACCCATTTTTCTTCCTTGATTTGATGACCCCAGTGATATTCTGTAAGGAGTGCCTATGATGAAGATGCTCCCTCAAAACAACGAAATGGAATGGCAAGGCGGAATCATAATATGAAATATCGAAGAAATCCTCCAATCAGTGGCAGAATGCAAATGCTGCATATGGGGACCACAGTCATGAATAAAACTTACAGTTACGAGAAACAAACGGGAAGGTTTCTTTCTGTCCGGAGCATGAAGTTTATCTAAGTAATGTTTAAAAACTCGGTTCACATCTCACAGAAAGTGCCGCATCTCCGTTATAAAGACCAATTAAGTAATGCTTCTTTCTTCAGGAAATAGTCACTGTTTGTTATGAAATCACACGAAACACATGTACAGTACATTGTGCATATCGAAGCAGATGTTACGTGTGCTTTGCTGGGTTAATACTGTGTTCCATCCGAAATATTGGCCTTTTTTCTGTATTCTGAGATCTCAAAATGATTGTCGAATTATCGATTCAGTAATAATTGTAAAGTCAGTATTATCAGGCCATTGTTATACATTGTTGTTGTATTCTCATCAACCAGTTATGAACCCCCACCAACCAGGCTTCAGTATTGCAGAACTTCACTTCACTTCCGATGTTCCCAGTACATAGCCCTATTTTGGGGGGGGGGGTGTACAGAATTTACCCAGTGTTGCCCTCGTATTGCTTCGAAATATTCTTTTAGTCCTGTAGTTGCTTTTCCCGTGGCTTCAGTGTCTAACGGTATGTTGTTGCAGAGTGTAAATTCCCTGTACACCACACCATCAAGACGTATGGGGGACTGGATATACAGCTCCACGCATTCTTAACGACCGCACTAGGTGGAGGTGAGTGGTCAGTTTCACCGTCCTGCCGCTCTACCCCCGTTCCGGTGTTATTTTTGTTCTTATGACTGCTAATATTATTTTAGGGGGCCGGTATAGCAACTGGCTGCGGGATCGGAGTTCGAGTCCCGGTAGGGGCAAGATTTTTCTCCCCACGTCGTGCAGACCGGTTCTGGGGCCCACCTGGCTTCCGACCCAATGGGTACCGTGAATTTTTTCTCCGGGAGGTAAATCGGCCGGGGCGTGAAGCTGGTTAGTCACCTCGAACTAATGCCGAGGTCAATAATACGTGGATCTATGCATCCACTCCCCCATACGTCTTCATGGCGTAGTACTTAGTTAAGCACAGGGACAACTTTACCTTTATTTTTATTATTGTTATGCTTGTATTTATTGTGTAAGAGATCTACGCCGTTAAATTATCACGTAAATAAATGTAAGCGGTTGAACTGAACTGCGCTGTGTTACAAGCTCTCCTGTCCGTGGGTCACGTGTAAACTACGTTAGTCAGTACGCGTGTCCTCCTGTTCCCAGAATGGCTGCCATCTTGAAATCTTTCATCTTCATAAGATGGCGTACAAACTTAAAGTCAGTAAACATGTACCCTCTGCTGTTTCGATGTTTTCTAGACTTGTAGCATCAAATGCTATGATAATTCGTGAATGATGAATTCGAATGGATTGGGAAGGAAGCGGTCATTGGCAGCTCGAGGCGTTACCCAGGTGTTTGCCTGGACGAATGAGGAACACCACAAGTACCTCAGGATAACCTGTCTGCTAGCCGAGATGCGAAACCAGCGCCTCTGGAAAGCAAGCCTAGAGCGTTGCTGCTAAACACACCTGTTACANCATGAAATTCGATATCCACTCGTTGCTCCGTGACAGCACTTAAAGACCTATTATTATTATTATTATTATTATTATTATTATTATTATTATTATTATTAATGAAGATGGTGGTGGTGCTGAGGATCTGGGTCTATAGTCAATTCGTTCCGCAAATTACACGTAAGCAACAACGCACTAACCTGCATTATCGACCGACTGCCTACAGCAGCCCTGTGTTCTTATGTCACTTTAGCGCGCATGTATTGTTTGAAAAGAAAAAATCCACAGTTTGTATCGTATTGCCCGCGGGTACACCCGACAGAGGCTGCCATCTGGCGCCTGTGTTGCTTTCAAGGCAAATTGCCCGTTCAGCTTTATCCCCGATTCCCAGTTGCGGCGCCAGCTGTCTCGGCGAGTGATGTCTTTATTTTCTCGAGTGTAATAACAGCCTTCAGACGAAGGTGGCCTTGGAACTGATCGTCCAGTGAACCGGCCGATCGCTGTAAACAGACGCGTGTTCAGCTCAGCCCTCAGTTCCGAAATCTCGGCGGGAAATGAAGCCTGGCACCGTGATAGCCACTTAACAGCTTTTATTGTTTTTTTTT